CACACACACACACACACACACACACACACACACACACACACTCTTAACCTTGAAACTGCTAATGCTTAGTTCTTCTGCCCCAACCTTCTGAGTGCAGGGATTGCAGACATGGTGTGCCATGCCTGGCTTCCCAGTTCATATCCATCTAGTCCGAAGCAGGAGGAGCTATTTTAGCTTTGTAAACGATTTTCCTCAGAGTGAATGTTTATGATTCTGACACTGCTTATGATGCATCTGGTATTCAAAGACAATCACCTGACCTCTCCCTTTTGTAGATGAAGATTTGGTTTGTGGAGGTGAAATCATTTACTCAGATTTATTCAGTGAATTAGTTTGCAGAACCAAAATATGGCCCTGTTCCAGTTGCCATACTTTGCTCTAACTTGTAGATTCCTGTTCATCCCACAATCTTTCCCAAGGAAGATTTGGTTTGTTTATGGAGAAGCTATTTAATATCTTAGAGAAATCTGTGAACTTCATGTTCATACTACTGATAGTACCCACCTCATGAGACCGTTGCAAGGACTGGATCATCGAATCAGTGTACAGTAGCCAAGAGTCTGCACTTAGTGGCTGTGGTAGTCATAGCCACTGTGATGGTCCTGCACTCTACTGTTCTCTCCAAGTGAGAGTAGGATGGGCTACTACAGGATGGGAGGCCTTGGGTTCTGCCCAGGGGAATCTGTAACCTTTTCCCCCCAGCAATGACCTTGTATGATGCTTGTTTTTACAAAAAGATGGCAGGCTTCACTCTAGTGAGCTGCTCAAGCACATACCACAGGCAGGAATCAGCACACACCTCCTAAGTTACCTGTAGTCCATCCATTGTCTAATGTCTACCCCTGTGTGGAACGGGACCACCATCAGAGTGGCCTCAGCCTGACCTGAGCCCCACAGGCTCACCATCTCCACACTCACCGAGGGAGATGCCCTCTGTTAGCGTTAGTGGGGTGGGGGTGAGCATAGGGGTGGGGATGGGGATAGGGGCTTAGTGTGCCAGAGCATTATCAGTGTGTGAATGTGAGGGAGGGTGGTATGCATTTTATCATATCACTGTCGCCTCTGAATTACACTATTAAGCCGTAAGTGCCGCTTTTAAAATCATAGAGGACGCGCTTTATTAGGAAAATGTAGGTGTTTAGAAAGTGGATTTAAAAAAAAAAAAACAAACTCTCCTTTAAGGCTTCCTGGAATTAATTCTTTACAAAACCCCAGGCACAGGATCTTTACGACTTCCATGGGAGTCAACTGTTTGCCTAGTCAGTGCTCTCATAAAGTTTCCATCCAGCTTCCTTTGAGGTTCCGTGGTTCATTTTTAGCATGCAATAGCCGTGGACCTGGAGAAGAATCTGAGGTATGAGTCCAGGAGACAGTGGAGGCTCTGCTAGTTTGATCATTTAAATCCACTGATGTTTGAAGCTTGCTTCCCCAATTGTGGGTGGGCAGGATGCCTGCCTTGGTTTGACTCATTTATTTCTGTCAGTGTTTCATTTTCTTTGGGAATTTTCTCCTATGAGATGATAACATAAGACAACAAGTTAAGTAAAATGAGCCAGGGGCTGCGGAGATTGCTCTGTCTACTGATAAAGTGCCTTCTGTGTAAGCTGGTGAACCTGAGTTAATCCCTAGAGTCCTTGTAACTCAGATCTGATGGCACCAGCACTGGGGAAGCAGTGACCTGCAGATCCCTGGCCAGTCAGCTTAAGGTAACTGGTGAGTTACAGATCAGTGAGATACCCTGTCCAAACAAGGAGGGTGGCTCTTGAGAAATGATATCTGAGGTTGACCTCTGCTTTCTGTGTGGATACATGAACATACACATATTTGCACCCATATAAACAGACACAAAAAAGACAAATACTGTATGGTCTCCCTCATAGGTAGAACCTAAAAGCTGAAGCAAGAGAACACTAACCTTTTATTTTTATAAATAAATTTTATTTTAGTGTTTATTTTATGGAATGAAAAGGTGACTGAAGTCTGGGCAGTGGTGGCACACGTCTTTAATCCCAGCACTTAGGAGGCAGAGGCAGGCAAATCTGGAGACCAGTGTAGTCTACAGAGTGAGTTCCAGGACAGCTAGGGCTACACAGAGAAACCCTACAGAGTGAGTTCCAGGACAGCTAGGGCTACACAGAGAAACCCTGTCTCAGAAAATCAAAAATTGAAATAAAACAAAAGGTGGCTGATTGTAGAACATGAAAAAAAAAAAAAAAAGCTATGCTTGTGTAGTCACAACCAAGTGGTTAAAGTGATGAACTAGGAAAAAAGCCAGTTAAGAGCTGTAGACCAGGGCATTGAGATGGTCCCTCAGATGACAACAGCCCTTGCTGTGAGGCCTGATGGCCTGTATTCAGTCCCCAAATCACCACAGAGGGAGAAAACTGACAGCTTGCACAGACACCCTCTCTCTCTTACAAAAAAGAGCCATAAGCCTCATTTATGTGGTGACGCACCTACTTTTGATTCGAGCACTCTGGAGGAAGTGAGGGAAGAGGATTATGAGTTAGAAGCCAGCCTCGATACATAGCAAGAGACCGACTCAATAAATAAGTAAACAAACAAACAAACAAGCCAGGCACAGTAGTACGCTTTCACCAAGAGACAGAGAGCATCTTGACTTAATCATTTCACATTATAAACATATACAAAACCTTACATAAATATCATAGATATATATCATTGTAAGTTAAAACTAATTTTTTAAAACTGAGATGTTCATTATGGTGAAAAAAAAAAATCCAAGGTTTAACCCGCTTAGTGTTTTCTGTACTTCATTGCCTTGAAACTTGGAAAAGTTTCCGAAGAACATACTGAGTCTCCATCTTATCCACTGAAAATTCATGTCTGACCTAAGAACCACACCCCCCCCTTCTAAAAGACAGGGGGCTGGGGATGTGGCTCAGTTGGCAGAATGCTTGCTTGGCATGCATGAAGGCCTGGGTTTAATCCCCAACATCTTATAATTCTGGGTATGGTGCAAGTCTGCCTATTGCATTTAGGAGATGGAGTCAGGGGGACTCAAAATTCAAGGTCAGCTTGAGAGGGAGTTTGAGGCCAACCTGGGCTACATGAAGCTCTGAGAAGGGAGAGGAGAGGAGAGAGAGATGGATTTTTGAGATGAGATCTCACTATGTAGCGCAGGCTGGCCATGAATGCTTGATACTCCTTCCTTGACTTCCTGAGTGCAGTGATCATGGGCGTGTAACACCACACCTAGTTTCAAGACCTCTTTAGTGACAGAGTACATATTCCATTGTGAAGAAGACACATTAGAGATGCAAATGCGGCAGAGTCTGGAGTCTTTTGATCTGATCATAGCAGGACATACGCTCTCAGCTTGCTCCAAAAGATGTGTCACGATGGCCAGGGTGGAGGAAGGAAATGTCCTCATAGTGGGAGGGGAAAATGTATTCAAATTGAGGATGCCCATTAGTGTGGAAAGCACCAGAATTCTGATTATTCCTGAAAGTGACTCGTTAGCAGATGATGCTTTGGTTTCTATTTTGCCCTCACCCAAATAGGCCTCACATTCAAGCAATAAAAGGAATTTTTTGTTTCTCTTGGTTCTTTTAAGATATTTTTAGAATTATGGTAAGACATATATAATATAGAATTTTCATCTTAAATACTTTTCTCATTATCACTCTGATGATTATTTTCCTGAATTCTGTAAGTACACACACATTTAAAGGGGCCCATATTTTAAAACATAGAATGTCCTTTGCTTTCTATATGGAACTATCTCTATGCCCATGTTAGATATCCTAGTTACAGAAAATAGCATGGTGTATTGTAGAATGTGGATGCAATTGTGCAGATACAGTGACTCACCTGCCTCAGTGCTGAGATTACAGTCTTGAGCTGCCTCATCTGGCTTCTAAATGTATAAATGCATTAAAATTTTATTTCTAGACAAGGTTTCTCTCTATAGCCCTGGCTGTCCTGGAACTCACTCTGTAAACCAAGCTGGCCATGAACTCACAGAGATCTGCCTGTTCCTGAGAGCTGGGATTAAAGGGTGCCCCATCATGCCCTGCTCCAAATGCAATCTTTGTAGGAGACCTGTCCTGTAGTCTTTACTGTGAGCATGCTTGTACGGCAGAACTGATGGCAGACCAAGATGGAGGGAGGCTCTAATTACCTTAAAGTCACAGTCTTATGGTGGAGTTAGGACTTTTGATTTAGAAGTGCCAGGCTCTAAAGCTCATTCCCCCAGAGCTACTCCAGGGTGGATGCTGTCTTTTTCCATATCTCACATACTGGATAATTGTGGAGCAAGAAGCTTCAGCAACAGGCATGAATCAATAACAGGAGGCTTTGCTCCATACTGATTCTCAGATAAACATCTACCTCCCTGACTGCTGATGGCTTACAATGGTTGTCAACCTGTGGGCCACAACCCCATTGTGGGGGGGTCAAATGACCCACCCACAGGAGTTGAATATCAGATATCTTACATATCAGATGTTTACATCACAATTCATAGCAGCAGCAAAACTACAGCTATCAAGTTAAAAAATTTTTTTTTTTTTTTTTTTTTTTTTTGTCTTTCGAGACAGGGTTTCTCTGTATGGCTTTGGAGCCTGCCTTGGAACTCACTTTGTAGACCAGGTTGGCCTCGAACTCAGAGATCCACCTGCCTCTGCCTCTGCCTCCTGAGTGCTGGGATTAAAGGTGTGCACCACCACTGCAGCAATGAAAACAATTTTCTGATTAGTCACCACAACATGAGGAACACTTTTAAAAGGGTCTCAGCACTAGCAAGGTTGAGAACCACTGGCTGGGAGACTCCCAGGGTGAGTGGACGAGTGCTGGCAGCTTCAGGTCAGCACTGTCCCATGGAGTAAGACCCATCTGTGATCTCCACAGGAGTTAGCTGTGCCTGTCGTCCATGATGGTGGTGCCCTTCTGGCTTTTGTCTGCGGTGTAGTTTACACGCTCCTGCAATCGATCATCTCCTACAAATCATGTCCCCAGTGGAACAGTCTCACGACATGCCATGTCCGGATGGCCATCTCTGCTGTTTCCTGCGCAGCTGTGGTCCCCAGTATCCTTTCCACGTGTCAATTGGAAGAATATGGCGAGGAAGAAGACTGTCCTAACTCAGGCCATAGCAGTAGCTAGAGGGACTGCTGAAGGTGGGGTCTTGCAGTAGGGAGAGAGACTCACTTGTGGGTAAGTGGAAGTCTATATAGCAGGGAGCAGCATGGGGTCACTGGGTAGAAGAGGACTAAGGTAGCTCAACTTCCTTGCCATAATTCTCATACAAGACACTTCAGGGCAATCAGACAGCTTGGGGGTAGATGGCTTTTAGCCAGATTGATCATACCAACTGTGAGGAGATGGGTTATTAGACTCAGTGTCGCTGTGGTACCTGATGTAAACAACTTATGGGGGGAGAAGGTTTAATTTGGGTTCACTGTTTTTGAGACTTCAGTCCATGGTTTCTTGGACTGGTGCACTCAGGCAAAGCATTATGGCAATTGGAGCATGAGGAGGCTGAATTTCTTCATTATGAACAGGAAAGAGAAAGCAAGGGACAGAGGGGAGGAAGAGAGACAGGAACAGGAGGAGGTGGGGGAAGGGGTCAGGGACATGAGTTCCCCAGCCCTGGCTAAGGACCGACCACAGCGATCTGCTTCCGATAGGTCCTACTTCTTAACATTTCCAGAATCTCCTCCAGACCCTGGCAGAACCTTTGGGGGTGGTGATGGAGACACTTTATATCTGTCTTAGTTACTTTTTGGTTGCTGTGAAGAGACACCATAACCAAGGCAACTTACAGAGGGGAGAGTTTATTTGGGGCTTATGGTTTCAGAGGGTTAGAGTCCATGACTCTCAATGGTGTGGGGGACCATGGTGGCAGACAGACATACTTGGCACTGGAGCAGTAGCTAAGAACTTATATTTTGGTCCATAGTCACAAGGCAGAGGAAGGTAACTGGGAATGGCAAGGACTTTTGAAATTTCAAAGCCCCAGTGACTCACCTCCAAGACCAAACCTCTGAATTCTTCCCAAACAGTTTCACTAACTGAGAACCAAACTTTAAAATATATGAGCCTGTTGGGGGGCCAGTCTTATTTAAACCACCACACTAACCTTAACCAGGATTTCGTTAAATTGGTTTTATATTCTAAATTTATATTTCAGTTAAATTGTTTTTTATATTGACATGAACAGATGGGCCCAGGAGAAAGGGTTGTCAGGATTCAGACTACATAGTTCAGCTAAGCGAAGAATCTTGGTCCCAGCAAGTCTGATGTTCTCTCTACACCCATGTCTAAAGCACTAAAAAGGAAAGGAAAAATTGCCAAGTGTCCATATTCTTCAGAGGACCAAATAGGAGAACAGTGTACACACTACAGAAGTATTAGATTCAAACAGACTTTGGGAATAGAAAAAAAGCAAGGACATTCCAGCCTGTTGACTTTTCCTTCCCACCGGTCATTTTCACAAGCCATATGAAAATATTTAGTTTTTTAAAAGTGTTTGGTTAAAGACATCAAATATTGGCATTGTATTTAAGGAAATAGCTTTGCGACATCTCAAGAGTCTGGACTCCGTGCCTACTGGAGACATGACAGTTTGGTTAACTCAACTTGACCTAGGATTTCCTTTTAAACTTCTGTCACTCACGACTAAGTCAACCAAAATGCATTGAGCCTTTTTGTAGTTTCGAACCTTGTTTTCAATATGAAGTTTACTTCGTTTTCTAATTTAGCCCTGAAATAAAGGAAATGAGTATTTAATCATGCTGATATATTCTGATCTAAAGGAAATGAAAGCTGGGCATGCAGGCACATGCTTATGTCTAGCTCACTGGCTTGGCAAAGGCATGAGGATGAGCCTGGGCTATGGGACTAGGGTCTTAAAGACCCGTTTCCTCCTTGTCCAGCCTCAATGTGACAGCTTTTGACCTTGTCTTATTGTGTCTTGTTTTGTCCAGTTTAGTTGTTGTCTCCTGGAGGCCTGCTCTTTTCTGAAGGGAAACGGAATGGGAGTGAATCTAGGGGAGATGAGGTGTTCAGGTGGGAAGGGGTAGAGGAAGGGGACACTGTGGTGGTGATGTGTTGTATCAAAGGAGAATCTATTTTCAATAATAAAAAAGAAAAGGGAAGCATTCCCCCGCCGTGTGTGTGTGTGTGTGTGTGTGTGTGTGTGTGTGTGTGTGCACGTGCACGTGCGTGCGTGTGCTTGCACATCTGTTGTGTGTGTGTGTTGTTTGTTTGAGACAGGTCTTGTTGTGTAACTTCTGCTGGCCAGTAGCCAACCAGTTTCAGCCTGGGTTTCAGTGCTGCGATGATTATAGGTGTGTGTGTGATCACATTCTCACTCTCCTCCTCTCTCTCTCTCTCTCTCTCTCTCTCTCTCTCTCTCTCTCTCTCTCTTTCATGAAGTATTTAAACCAAGAAAATAAAAGTGATATGGTATTTCAAGGGTGGAAACTTCTCCACCGTTTGATCTTGTGTTAGATTGCAGAAAAAAAATGGATGCTGTTTTGCAAACAATGTAGGCCAGTTCATGATCTATAGTGGTCAAGCTCCATGACTCATCATGTCCTTTAAACTCTGAGCTCCGTGTTTCTATCCAAAAATAGAAGTTACATCAGATAGCCTGGCTGGCCTCGAACTCACGGAGATCCACCTGCCTCTGCCTCCCCAGTGCTGGGATTGAAGATGTGCACCACCACTGCCCAGCCTTGGAGAAATTTTTAATTATAAAATTTTCAACCAAGGAGGAACTGAGTCCTGACACTGAGAAATGTACTAACAAACTGCAGCCTTTGCTCTGAAGACAACTCCTTCCCTATTTCCTTGTCCTGTTTTAGTCTGAAGATGTTCATACTTTCTCTCGAAATACATTTCCTTAAATCTTTAGCTTGTGTTGACTGTAAAACTGTGTAAGTGGTGTTTGTATTGTCATAAACAGTTTCATGTGCAGGAAACCTTTCTTTGCTTCCAACTTCTAGAGGAAAATCTCTCAATACTCAAACCAGAGAGTCCCCAGCACAAGGGACATTTTGGCCTCCATTTCCCATCATTTCCATTTCCTGTTCTTATGTCCAGGAGGTTCAAATTCCTAAGCCAAGCCAAAGGTCAGAGACCCACACAGAAGCAGGCTAAGTCCCTGCAACAAACTCCCTTGAATGGATTTTAACAAACTTCCTCCTGAAAGTCTGTGGCCTTCAGCTTTTCAGTGGTGGCATTGCTTCTCGGGAAGCTGGTAAAGGCTCCTTAGAACGTCTGTCCATGTTTCTTACACACAAAACAGCCTCACAGAAACTGGTGTGGTGGTGGCTCATGCCTTTAATCCCAACACTCGGGAGGCAGAGGCAGGCGGATCTGTGTGAGTCTGAGGCCAGCCTGGTCTCCATAGTGAGTGCCAGGATAGGCTCCAAAGCTACCCAGAGAAACCCTGTCTTGAAAAACCGAAAAAAAAAAAAAAGCCAACCCCCCAAAACAAAACAACCCCCCCCCAAAAAAAAACCAAAACAAAAAAACCCCAGCTCCATTAACTCCTGAAGAAACTGAGCCACTGAGTGAGGCCAGTCCTTTTGTTTTTCTTTTCTTTCTAGCCCTGACTGTCCGGGAACTAACTCTGTAGACCAGGCTGGGCCAGAACTCAGAGATCCCCCCATCTCTGCCTCCCCAGTGCTGGGACTAAAGTCGTGTGCCACCATACCCAGCCATGAGGCCCATCATTTCATATCAAGGTTCTTAATTTCTCCTGCTTATTGGCTCATCTTGCCTCAGCTTCTAAAGCTTCCAAAAACTTCATAGAAGCCAGGCGCGATGGTAATAGTTCAAACCTGAGAGGGAGAGAGAGAGAGAGAGAGAGAGAGAGAGAGAGGAGAGAGGAGAGAGGGGGAGAGATAAAGGAGAGGAAGGAAGAAAAAAAAGAGAGGGGGGGGAGGGAGGGAAAGGAAGAGAAGAAAGAGGAAACGGCTGGGCCGTGGTGGCACATGCCTATATTTCCAGCACTCAGGTGGCAGAGGCAGATCAAGGCCAGTCTGGTGTATTCCAGGACAGCCAGAGCTCCGTAGTAAGACAGGTTCATAAATAAATAAATAAACAAATAAGAAAGGGAGAGAAAAGAATAGAGAATGAAGAAAGGAAGAGAGAAGGAAAGTTTTAAGGGCTCTTGAAACATGTGACCTGAGACTTCTGGTTTCTTCAGCCTCATTGTGACACTTTGCCCTCCAGGCATGGTGGTTTCCTGTTCTCTGCTTGGTCTCTGCTCATCCCTTGGGTTTTTCTAGAGCTGGGCTTCTGGTCCATCACAGTAACTGTGACTTTCTGCATCCTTGAAATGTGGCTAGATCTTTCACAGATGTAAAAATACACACTCATGAGAAAAAAGGGAATAGAGACTAGATGACATCATTCGCTCCCTGTCCTTTTGCTTTTGTTGGTGGTTGTCTTTTTTGTTTTGTTTTGTTTTGGTCTGGGGTGAGTGGGCTTACACTCATTATGCAGCCTCGGCTGGCTTCAAACTTTTGATTTCTCTTATCCTAGCCTCCCATGTGTTGGGATTATTGATATGAGATCCTATACCAGTTTACACTAATAACTATTCTTATACATTAAAATGACATCATCACCAATTTTTTTATTTTTACCATTTTTTAAATTGTGTGTGTGTGTGTGTGTGTGTGTGTGTGTGTGTGTGTGTGTGTGTGTGTGTGTGCATACAGGGTGCCCACAGAGGTCAGAAGAGGCATCAAGTGTCCTAGAGCTATGGTTTACAGGCAGTTGTTAGCTGTCCAATGTGTGTGCTAGGCACCTAGCTCATGTCCTTTGGAGGAACAGTGCACAACCTTAACAATGAGCCATCGATCTCTTCCCTCACTACGGGTAGCATAGAATATATGCTAACATTAAATAATATTACTATAGTGATAGTATTTTAGTAAGCTGGACTAAATAAGATACACTGTTAAAATTAACTGCATTTATTTCTTTTATCATCATCATCATCATCATCATTTATTACTATTATTTGGTTTTTAAGATGGGGTTTCTCTGTGTAACAGTCCTGACTGTTCTGGGACTTGCTCTGTCGACCAAACAGGCCTGGAACTCAGAGATCTGCCTGCCTCTGTCTCCCAAGTGCTGGATTAAAGGCGTGCACCACCACTGCCTGACTTTTTTCAGTTTTTAAAACCATGGTTACTAGCAAATTTACACTTACACATTATAGTTCTGTAGGTTGGGCCTGCTATAGAGATGTCTTTAAAGTTCATAACTCAGATGAAGAAAAACTCTGTGATGTTTTCCCCGGCACCCCAAATGCCAGTGCATACTGAATTAGGTTTTTTTGTTTGTTTGTTTGTTTTTTCATCTGAGCCATGATGCTCTCCACTCTTTTCTTTCTAGCATACCATGCTCTAGTGGAACTTTAGTATCTCGGAGTGCTGAGACTAAGTCTGTTTGACTGAACTTCCCATCCTCCCCCGCCCCCCGAGACAGCGAGGGAGGGAAGAGTAAATAGAGGGTAGAATGAATAGACTCTGAACCTAGTGGAAGCAGAAGTATGGTCATTAGATGATCAAGGAACATCGATGCTTTTGCTGCTTTTATTCTGAGAAGTAGGGAACTGTTAAGCTTTGCAGAATAGGAAGGGAGGGACCAGGAAAGGACATGTGACTCTGAACTGTAGAGGAGGCACAAACCATGGCTTTGGCTCAGCATTTTGGGTTGGGTTCCTGTAGTCTTTTGTTTTTTTTTTTTTTTTTTTTTTTTTGACTTTCTAGAGCTTTCTATTTTCCCCATAGCTTTTTCCCCCTTTACCTTCCAAGTTCAACCCCTGCCCTTGTGAGGCAGTAGTGCCCAGGGAAGGCGGGGACCTCCATGGCTGCATCATTACTCTGGTCTGCAGGGGGCTTGCCCTTTACCCCCAAGCCCGACTTAAAACAGACTTGTTCAGCTCTAAAATTCCGGGTCGGAGGAAGGGGCTCTGCTTCTATCCAACCACCCATCAGAAATCTATTTCTAGAAGGTAATAGTTTGAATCTGAAAATTAGCTTTTTTAATTAGTATTTTATGTGTATGGGTATTTTGCATTCGTGTATGTATGTGTTTGCACTAAGTTTATATGGTGCCCCCAGAAGCCAGAAGAGGGCACCAGAGCCCCTGGAACTGGACTTAGTTGCTTATGCAAATAGGTTCTGGAAATTAGGTTCTGGAAATTGGAACCTGGGTCCTCTGGAAGAGTTGCCAGTGCTCTTAACCACAAAACCATCTTTCCAGCCCCTTGGTAGCTTATTTATGTATATGGAGTATTCCTTTTTATGGAAGCTGTCTCCTTGGGAATGACATTTCAGAGGTAATATATTTTTATTCAGTAGCAGGAGTTCAAAAAAAGACCTGTCTTGGATTCCTGTGTCAGACAGGCTAGCTTTAAGTAGCTTGCTTACATGGGACACCTGGAAATGCTCAGGTTGAACAAAACAGACACAGATGAAAATTTTACTATACACACCTGTCTCAGTCACTGTTCTATTGCTGTGAAGAGACCACGACCGTGGCAACTCTTAGAAGGAAAACATTTAATTGGAGCTGGCTTACAGGTTCAGGGGCTTAGTCCATTATCGTCATGGCAGAGAGCATGGTGGCATGCAGGCATGGTGCTGAAGAAGTAGCTAAGAGCCATATCCCGATCCATAGGCTGAGAGAGAGGAAAACAACTGTCTGGTTGTGGGCTTTTGCAAACCTCAAAGCCCACCCCAAATGACACACTTCCTCCAACAAGGCCACCCCTCCTACTAATCTTTTTTACACTATCAAAGAGTTTTACTCCCTGGTGACTAAGCATTCAAACATATCAATCCTATGAGGGTCATTCTTATTCAAACCACTCTAGCACCCAAAAAAGTATTGCTAAAGAATAACTGCATTTCCATGCTATAATTTATTGATTTATGTATTTACTTGGTGGTACTGGGGACTGAACTTGAGACTCTAGGCATGCTAGGCAAGTTTCTGCGGCCCTGTTGTATAGCTACTGTCGTGACTGAAGGTCTGAGATTACAAGGAGTTTATAGAGGTGGTTTGATTTTAGAAATGCTATATTTAAGCATTATAATGACTGAGTAGAGTTGTCTGAATAGTAAAGAACCTGTTTTCTTCTGCTGGTTCCTTAACCATCTCCTTTTTTATAAGTGATTGCCTGTGCTTCACTAATTTCTATAACCAAACTGGAATGGAATCCAAAAGAAAAGGTAAGCACTTACCCTTTGTGTAGTTGCTGACCGTGGGTCTGTGAGACTGTGGCTGGTGAACCCTAGCAAGGGTCACTGACCTTTCTTAGAATGGGCCAGGAAGTGTGGAGTCAATGTGACATGGAATCAGCTTACTGTGTGCATGTGATCATTAGTTCCAGAAGACAGTGTGGAGGCAAACCTACTTACAGGTGCAATTGGCTGCTATTTGCATTTCATGAATCCAAGGGAGCTGCTGGTCTACACACTGGAGTAATCACTGCAGAGCTGCACTGGGAAGGGAAGAAGCTCAGTGGTAGAGACCAGTGCACGCATGCGCACGCGCGCGCACTCACTCACACACACACACACACACACACACACACGTGCACGCACACACACACACTCATGCACACACAGAGACATTATGCAGTTGGACAATGGCAAGAAAGTGTAGGTTTGTGGTTGTTTTAGGATTTCTTTCATTCATTTCTTGTTTTTGTTTTCTTTTTTTCCTGAGTCAGGCTTTCTATGTGGAGCCTTGGCATTTCAGGTTTTCTTAAAAAGCAGAGAGTCTTCTTAATTACCCCGACTCCAGTAAACTGGAATCTCTTTTTTTCCCAAGGAAACTGGCCAGTTTGGGGCTCCAACTGCTTCCTTAGGATGTATCAGTTTGTCTAGAATGAGCAATGCATGGGGGATGTGAAGATGATAGCAAGTACCAGAGGGCAAGAAGAGGGATGTTTTCAGTCAGAAACAGACAGGAAGAGGCACAGGCCCGTCTAAGAACTAGACTCTGCAGGGACACCCTCAGACTGTTCTCATGAGCCTGCCATGGGCAGGACTCCGTGGGGAAGGCTAAGAGGAAGGATAAGCTGTGGGTAAGCAAGTCCCCAAGGAAGCCTGGAGATCAGTGAGGCAGACAGTGCTGTCTTCTGCCACATATGGTACTCTGAAAGTAAGCACAATTCTGAATTGAAGTCCAACAGCGTGTTGTAGAACTGCAGACCACAGAAGCAATAGTTAATTCTCACCGTGGACTAGGGGATGTATCCTAGGGACTAAAAGAAGGACTCTCTCTCTCTCTCTCTCTCTCTCTCTCTCTCTCTCTCCCTCTCCCTCAACCATGGCAGGTGTAGCTAAGCAGTCTGGGAAGTGAGGGTCCTGAATTTGATGTTTTTCAGAAAGCAGTTGGGTTTGAAGCTGTAGATAAGAGGTGAAAAGGAAGGGCATCAATGCAGTGATGGGAGAGAGGATAGCATGATCAGAGCAAGAGTTTTCAAAAAGATCAGAAGATTTGGGCATGCAGTGGAAACCATCAAGACAGCTACAGGGATGCTTCTGAGGAAGAGAATGACCCAGCTAGAGTTTCAAAAAGAGCTGCCTTTGAATAGTTGGTCAAAAGGTCTGAGTGGTGGTCTGGTGTTCCTCAGTAAGGGGAAACTTAAAAGTCAGTAGAGCAACTCCAGGTATATTTTAATCTTCAACCACTAGGTGGCAGTGTTCCACCACAAATGAAATGCAATCGAGGGCTCAACAAAGCATGCCCTTAGGCCCCTGAAAATCTGTTAGCTTCTTCCATTTCCTATCTGAAAGTGTGAAAAGGAGAAAGGCAGGGTGGGTGGCTCATGCTTGCAATCCCAGGGCTCTGAAGACTGAGGCAAGAAGGAGCATGACTTTAGGACCAGCCTGGGCTACATAGGGAGACCTTGTAGAGCACAAAAATAGTGTCTGGTTTTTGTCTTTCCTTTGCCATCCAGATGCTGCCTTCTGCTTTCAGTATCAATGGTTGCAGTGAGAATCTTTAAATCAGTTGTTTGGCTAGAGTAATTGTTAGGCCCTGCCCTGAACTTCCATGTAGTATATTAGATCTTTCTCTGCATACCTGGTGGAGAGGATGAGAATTATAATTCATTGTCATTTATGGAACTTAGCCTGCATATACATGTAAAGTGGAGAAATTGAACTCTGGTTTGGTACTCTCTCAGTATCATACTGCCCCATCATTTTTCTTTTTACAGTTTTGTTTAACACACACACACACACACACACAC